CAGCACCCACAGTTAACAACAAATAATTCCATGGTAAGCTCCAGGTGTAGGATGGAGACGTAGTGCTAAGTGACAAAGTGTACTTGGATGAGTGCTTCGTCCAACCGTCTTTTAAATATTGTTAGTGTCGTTGCAGAGACGACCGATTCTGGGAGAGCATTCCACGGGTGACAGACACGAATGGAAAAGAAATTTCTGCGGCACTCCAGACGACTGTATTGTTCTGCGAGTTTTAATGAGTGGCCCCTCAGGTTTGTATTGCTGCTGAGTTGCAGTACATGGCGGCACACATGATGTGGGTCTCGCAGAATCAAGTATGTCATAATCAGGTCGCCACGTAGTCTGCGATAGCTTCCACTGAACAATCCCAGTCGTCGCAGCCTCTCCTGGTAGGACCGATTGCGCATTCCAATTACGTTCTTAGATGCCCGGCGTTGTGGCTGCTCCAGTGCATTAAGGTCATGTTTCAGCCATGGATGCCAGGTTTGAATTGCGTATTCGACATGGGGGCGAACATTCGCACTGAGCATTTGTCGAAATATGGAGCTGTTTATCTGTCCAGAAGCCCGCCTCAACAGCCCGACGTGTTGGTTCTCGGTCTTTGAGGCTTTTTCGGATTGGCTGGAGCGACCCAAGTCACCTTGAACCAGGACACCCAAGTCACGTTCGAGAGTTGAATGTCGTAGTATATTCGTTCCGAGTCGGTATGAGTAGCTGCTCTGATGTCGGATGGAAAGCACCTTGCATTTATTGACGTTGAAATGCAATAAGTTCTGGGTCGGCCATTGATACACCATATCTAAATCACTCTGAAGCACATGTTGGTCGGCGTTCGCCTGGATCCTGCGCCAGATCTTGATGTCGTCAGCAAACACTAGCAAGTTTGAAGCGATTCCCTGTGCAAGGTCCTTGATAAACACCAAAAACAAACGTGGACCTAGAACTAAGCCTTGCGGCACACCACACTCGACTTGTATTGGGTCCAATAAAGAGCTCCGAACTCTGACCACTAATTGCCGTTGAAGTAGAAAGTTGGCGATCCAGCTTAAATGAGGGTCTCCGATCCCGTAATGCTGGAGCTTGGAGAGTAGTATCCGATGGTCTAGACGATCGAAAGCCTTGGAAAAATCCAGGTAGATCGCATCAACACCTTCTCCAGCGTCAGCTGCCTCGGTCCAACTACTGCGTGCAATTAGTAAATTAGTCGTACATGACCGCTGTCGACGGAAACCGTGCTGTTCAGGAGTGATGAGTTTGCAGTTTTCCAGATAACACATCAGTGCATCGGCAACTATGGATTCCATGACCTTGGAGAGTATAGGAAGAAGGGTTACTGGGCGGTAGTTGGAGGGATCAGTTCTGCTTCCACCTTTGTGAATCGGGCTTATTATTCCAAGCTTCCACATGGCGGGAACTTGGTTCTTGTCTAAGCAGTGCTGGAAAAACTGAGCTAAATGTCCTGCCAGTTGGTTTGCTGCTGCTCCCAATGCCTCTGGACGAATGGTGTCGACACCTGGCGAGCTGTGTTTGCGTAGAGAAGTCAGCTTTTGCAATACGGCCTCTACGGTAAAATTGATGTGGGTTAGTCCTGGTGAGCAGAAGACAAAGCTTGGTAGATCGCTTGGTGGCAAGACTCCTTGAAACGTGGGGCTTATTGCATCTGCAGCGCGTTTGCAGCTTCCATAGCCGTTCTTGTTGGGCCATCAGCCATTTTGAGTGGAGGAAATCCTTGCCTCACCTTTCGTAGATTATTAACGTGCTTGTACAGCAGTTTTTGGTTAGCACTGAAGGTTTTTGCGATGTTCTGCTGATAAGCGGCTTTGTCTTCTCTTAACACTTGAGTGCAGTGGTTACGTTGGGCTACGTAGTTGTCCCAAGTTTCTGGTGCTGTAGCTTCTTTGTACACTCGCCATGCTGCGTTGCTTACTGTCATCCGTTTTCGAGTTCTGCTTCTAAAGAAAGAAGCTGATTTGTACTTATTGCAAGCTTTCATCTCTGAAACCTCTGTAATCAGCTGACTAAAAGTTTGACGAGCTCGAGCCAAGCGACTTCCGGGGGTTCTTCTTCGAGGAAAGCCCAGTTGTGGCGCTGACGAGCTGGGCCAATCGGTCGTATCTTGTGATGGTTCGCACAGTGTCATCGTTCTCATTCAGATAATCTGCATAGCAGACGAAGTTGAAACTGATGGCTGCGTGATCACTGCGACTCAGCGGGCAGTCTAAAACTAACGCATCAATCATATGCTCCTCGTTGGTAAGCACAAGATCCAGCACAGATGGCCCGTTACCTGTTCTGAACCGAGTGGGCAAAGTGATGTGATTGTAAAGAGGAACAGTAGTTACCAGATCTCGTAGATCGGTTTTGAATTGTTCTCCGATTGTGGCAGGGGCTTCTAAACAATGTACGTTGAAATCACCCATGATAAGAATGTGAGTGTACTTTTGTTGTAAACTGCATCTTAAAGCAGCCATTAGGTGGTAGTCGGTTTCGGGTGTTGAGTTAGGGGCGCGCTACACCAAGACAATAAGACAAGCGTCCCTGCTTTTTAACTGCAAGCGGCACCAAATAGAGTCAGGGAACTGCGAGTCTGAATCCTCCACGGCTTCGCACTGTAAGTCGTTTCGGTAATACAGGATTACCCCTCCACCTTTTGTGCGTCTGTCGTTCCGGATCAGCGACATGCCCGGTAGCAAAACTTCAGCGTCCGTCATTCCCGTGTGCAACCATGTCTCGGTGATACCAATGACATCAAACGACCCGGAAGCTTGGCCATCTTTCAGTTCAGCCAGTTTGTTAGAAAGACCCTGAGCATTCGTATACAAGCAGGCCAGTTTCTCGGTCTCTAGGTGCCCACAGTGGGGTGAAGCGGTCACGTGTGGGAGAATGCCAACCGATGGGAGGTCGGCAGTTACTCGTTTCTTTTGATGCGTCAATGATACCTCGTTTGCAACTTGATTCGGCCAAGGTGCGTCCCAACCTTCGTTTAGACGTACGTCAGAGTCAATTAAAGCAGCAGTCAAGTTACGCTTTTGTACATTCGTCGGTATGATTGCTGCTTCAGTTGCTTTAATATTTGAGCTGTGCAGAGTGTTTGCGACGTTCAACCGAATTTCAGAAGGAATATGTTTCCGATTTCTCCGCGATCGATCCAAAACATCCTTTGCTTTTTGCTCTGACTGAACCACAATTTTTAGGATTCTAGGGCCGCATCCTGTATAATTTGGTGAGAGAGATATCCTGATGAGCGATAGTGCCACAACATTATCCAAAGAAAGTGTTTTACGAATGAACCGCCACTGTTCTAAATCGTGCTTTCCGGTCTCTTGAACATCGTTAGAAGGATGTTCTGGCACGCCATGTATGAAGATTGTGTTTAGGCGGTCTTGCATGCTGTACCCCTCTTCGGTGTTTTGTTTTGGTTGTCGCGCGCTCCAAGGGACATCAGGTTAGATACGTATCCCCCAGGTTCCGCGTTTTAGCGCGCTTGCGGAGAGCAAAACGTTTTCTACGTCGGTGGAGGATTCTAGAGTTACTCGAATAAGTCTGGGTTCGCCATAGTGTGGCGAGTTCGGATGACGAGTAATTCGTAACAAGTTTATGGGCTTGGCTTTGATACTCATCTGCATACACAATGATTTTTATTGGTCTTGGTCATCTAATAACTTCTTCCACAATGTGATGGCGGTAGATTCAGGGACATTTGAGCACACAACAGTCCGGGCACTGTTGTTGGATCCCTTTTTAATCGATCTACAAGTTATGGTACTCATTTATCCTGACTTGCTGACAAGTGATTGTTTGCTGTTTTTCTCTCTATTCGCGCTAACGGTGTTTACAATGGAGGAGGACGCAACGGCGGCCTCTCGGTGGACCCTTGCAGCAATCTCTGCATATGTAACCGATGTTCTGGCAGGCTTAGTCTCGACAATAGATATTTGAGCTACAGTTACCAAGGGTTGGTGTTTGACTACTTCTTCCTTGTTAATGCTAGATGTCAGGTCTAGAGGAATTCGCTTAACCAGACGTTTTGAATGGTGTCTGATTTTCGTTGCCGTGAGTACTATTTGATTCCCGTAGATACAGTCTGTTTTTGCCCAGCGTTCTACCAAAGTTGGAGAAGACAACGGAGATGGAGAGGTGGCTGAGTGCCGTTCAGGGGAAGTGGATTGTTCAGCATTCCTTTGCTTAGAAGCCGCTACGCTTCTGTGCTGCTTACTCGCTTTCATTGAAGTAATCTTATTGTTTATCCTCTGCTCTGCTTCTGCGGTTAACCGGTCGCATTTCTCAGCTAGGATAAGCAAGCACTTAACGAGGGGGATGGTGGAACACGCAGTACAGAACCAAAATGCATCTTGGGAGCTATTTCGCTCCCGTAACTGTTGTTGGGACACATTTGCACATTTCATATGATACTATTCCAAACAGTGCGAACAAGCCAGTCCGATGTTTACTACTCGGTGACGTTCCCCTAACCCGCAAATGCCTTTTGCTTGGAGTCTCTTCGGTTTCGCCTTTCTGCCATTCCATTTGGTGTCGTTACCTGACCCAGTGGGTTGGTTAGCGTTCTGTACTTTTACAGCTTTGAGAGCGGCGCACATCGGTCAGGCGAGCGTGGTGGTTGCAAGGTCAAATGAGCGGTCGGCGTGGTCGCGCGGTCCGTGTGATGGGTTATGCAGCCGCACTGGCTGACAAGGTCACAAGGAATCGCGAGTGACTGGAACCTGAACAGAGCGCTGAATACAGATTGACAGATCACAGATTCTTTCACAGCTGTGTTGAGAAACACTGGATCGGAATAAGCTTAGGCTTTTCGGCCTGCCTCAAGAATTCTGTATCGAATGGTGTCACACAGAAAGGTAATCGGCTCAATATGATTGAGTTAAGCGTTTGCGCTTAATCACAGATGCCAGTGAAAACGGTTAGTGATGGCACAGCCTCTAATCGTAGAAGATATTTCCACGTATGATGGATCACTGTGTAGGGCCGATAAATCGGTTCGAATGAGCGGGGGGGGGGGGGGGGGGAGGGGGGGGGGGGGGGGGGGGAGGGGGGGGGGGAGGGGGGGGGGGGGGGGGGGGGGGAGGGGGGGGGGGGGGGGGGGGGGGGGGGGGGGGGAGGGGGGGGAGGGGGGGGGGAGGGGGGGGAGGGGGGGGGGGAGGGGGGGGGGGGAGGGGGGGGGGGAGGGGGGGGGGGGGAGGGGGGGGGAGGGGGGGAGGGGGGGGGGGGGGGGAGGGGGGGGGGGGGGAGGGGGGGGGGGGGGGGGAGGGGGGGGGGGGGGAGGGGGGGGGAGGGGGAGGGGGGGAGGGGGGGGAGGGGAGGGGGGGGGGGGGGGGGGGGGGGGGGAGGGGGGGGGGGGGGGGAGGGGGGGGGGGAGGGGGGGGGGGGGGGGGGGGGGGGGGGGGGGGGGGGGGGGGGGGGGGGGGGGGGGGAGGGGGGGGGGGGGGGGTACTGTGACAACGCTGCGAGAAGATGGAGAGAGGGTAGAGGGGAATAATCCAAGCCTATGACACGCTTGACAAATTTGACGTTTGATCGGATAAAAGCACACGAAATGCCATTCGCCGCATGACCAGCATGCCGTTGGCGGTCTGTTCGTAGACCTCTTGGAGAGTCTGCTTGAGTTGACAGTCCTGGCCTTTTTCACGAAGTGCACGGTATCAGTTGGTGCGAAAACATTCTCTTCGACCAGGGCAGTGTCGTATTTTAGAGTGAGCAGCCGTTTGCGTTCGCCTACGTGGGTCTTCAGTGTCAGATCAAGATCCTGATCCAGCTTGGCTAAAAGCCGCGTCTGGATCTCAGCATCACTGTGGGATTCTAGAGCGCTGACGAAAATGCGACACCCAAACTGATCGTCAGTTAAAGTGCGTGGTTTAAAACTCTCACACTCACGGTTAAACATGTCTGTTAGGGCCCCAAAGTCGTCCGATTTCTGTTTGACAACTTTCAAGCCTCGATATCGAATACTAAACAAGGATACCAACTCACCAAAAATTTTATTCAGCTGCGACACTACTTCGTCAAACGTCTGCTCCTTCGGTTGCTTGGGCATAATATGGTTTATGAACATTAAAATGTTCACTTGTTCCGAGCTTTCGTAGTAGAAATCTCGTCTTCCAGGAGTCGTCCTGACGAATGTAATCCGTCCAAGACATGTCTTCCTAGCGCTTGAACCAGGTTTCGAATGTACATCCAGAATCCGCGTCATAATTGAATTCAGTGATTGCATTCATGAGAAGATCAACAGAACTCGCCTGCTTGCTGTGTGTCGCTGCTCCTGGTGTCTGCAAACTCAAGCATTCTGCCAGCTTTTCGATCAATTTCACTTGTGTCAGCATTTGTGATTGCTGTTGGAAAAACAGCTTTTGAAATTGTACAGCAGAATACTTTATCACCTCTCTAATTTTCTCCGTCGCCATTTGTTATAATCTCACTAGACGGGATTCTGAAATTGGCACTTTAATGCTCCACAAACCTTCTAGCCCAAATGCAGGAAAAAAACAGAACACCAATTGCCTTGACCAAATAACGGGTTAACCACTGTCAACAAAACACTGTACAACTGCCGCGGACCTGTGCTGTATTTATAGCTCTCCTACTGAGCTTCGACTTCTGGAATTAAAAGGTAAACGACCAAGCTTAGTGGGGCGTTGGGCCCCTGTTTGACAAAGGAACATATGAAAGGCGTATGAACTGAGCAATCAGTCACCGGCACCCAATGGGCGCGATTCCCTGAATTCGCTCCGTTGCATTGCGGGCAGGCTATTCAGCCAAAGGCTCGGGGTGGTGTTCCCTAAGTCAACACCCTACTTCGGCTTGGGCAACCGGGTAGTATTTCGCCCTCTGACGAAACCATGGATTTTGATGTGTTATATTTTCTTTTACTATTTCTGTACCTTGTTTTGAGTTCCATGGTTTCCGATGGATTAATGTCTATTCATAGACTATTGCAAAATATATAAGGTTAGTGGCTCCCCAGAGCTTTGACCGAGATGTCAAGTGATTGGTATTTATGTACAGAACTAAGAACATTTCAGAACGTTTGAATTCGATGCGATAATCGTTAATAATCGATTAATCGCTGAAATAGTGGATTTTCTAGGCAATATTTACTTTTTCCCGGACGTTGTGGAAGACCCGCAGAAAATGCTTGTTCCTGTTGAGTATAACACATTGCGCTGAACTAACACCGAGCTCAAACAGCTCTTTAGGAACAAAAGTAAAGCTTGGTAGATGCGGCGTATCATCGGAATGGAACAAGCAGCTTTCTCATGGCAATTCGGGTAGCAAACAACCAATTGTGTACCAAATGGTGAACCAGTTTATATTGACCAACGTAGGGCTCTAGGTTGGACAGAGCATTTTAAGCGAAGTTAATTTGGACTCTATTGCCATCCAGTTGCCGGCATTGTATTCACGGTGTTCCTTGGTGTGTAAATGTCTCTGCGATTCGAAATTGTGGTTTCCTAAAAGATCTCGTCCTCTGAAGCGTCACAAATCCCTTGGTTACGCGAATTAAGTCCGGCTGTTTCCAAAGTCGGAGGCCCCTCCCCACTTTCAGCATTCTAAACACAGAACTAATTCAACCAGTTGAGCTTAGTGTGCATTGTGCATCTTCTTAACAAGACGTTCTAAGAAACTGCGTTAACTGCGATGCAACAGCCAAATAACTCGCTCCCCAGTGTGTCGAGTGGGCGGACAGCGTATAGGCGAAGTGTAGGCTGGATTGCATCCAAGATGTTGTCAACTTGATCAACTATTGTGATTTCTCGGTCCACCACTATTTGTTTTCTGGACATACTACTGCGTTACAAAAGAAACGGAATTTTTGAAGTAGCCCGTCTACCGGCATTGGTAGCGCTCTGCTGCTAATAAGCACACATATATGCTGGTTGGAGACGCTTGAGAACATGGCGCATAACCACGAACTAAGGAAGGTTGGCATGAGTCTTCATAGCACCTATTGATTAACACCGTACTCACCAAACTGACAAAAGAGACAAAACGGCGTGTGAATAACACATAAAAGCTCGTTCCATACTTTACGTTTTGTGATCTTTGCACTTCGTATACACATTCGCTCCATGGTTTCTCGATGGCTTGATGCCTACTGCACAGACTGTTCGTTTGTATATATATATATGTATATAAATATAAATATAAATAAATATATATATATATATATATATGCCGCGCTACTCAGCTGCGCACTTATGATGTTACCTGGATTCGTGAAGAAGCGTTTGAAACAAAATCGCCAAACTCAACGAACACTTCAACCGCCATCGGCACATCCTGAGCTACCAGTCTTCAATTGTATAACCAACCAATTCGGGCGTACAACGCTACAACAAGCTCGTCTTGGGGAAACCTTAGCTTGCTGACAAGCGTTCACAGGCGAACAGCTCTAATTTGTTCATGAATGCCCGAGAAGTAACTTGCTGCCAGGGAGTACAAACCACAGACCGGCGCAAAACCATTCCGCAGCCTGGAAATTAGCGAGACAATACGGGAGACGCATGATCAGACTGAAGATAACGGATACCCACAACCGCGTACGCAAATATGAGAACGTCATAATCGACAATAGAAATAATTGTCTCAGTACTATTAACTCACAGCTACGAACAGCGCTGGAATCCGAAATTGAACGTCGAGTCAAAAGCACGAAGAACTGGGGCAAGGCTGCATTGAACACAAAGTTAGACAACCTGATTAAGAGAAATGGCTGCGACAGCAGTGAAGGATGGATGAAAAATCTTTCACGCCGCCACCTCACTGCAACTGAAGAGGATGTCTTGATTAAGTGAAGCAAAGTTAAGGTCACAGACGCTTGACTCAAAGATTCTTGGCGAGCTTAGAACACGTATTAAAATCAAATGAAATGTCGGAGGAGACCCAGCAGCAGGTACGGAAAACAGTTGTCCCCTTGCTAACCAGTAAAATAAAGTCACCCAGACGCCATTAAAAGAGGAACAAAGTGCATTCAGACGTCCACAGAAAGATAACCTAAATCCGGAAAGAGGGAGTATGACCACAATATATCACAAACCGTAGTAAATAAAAACTAAAAAGAAATGCTAGCCTACGCAAATAAATATGGCCAGAACGATCATGATCCAAGTCCACAACTGGTCAACTAGATCAACGCAGCACTGAAGCAACCACAAACAAAGAACGAGCTCAGCGCCACGGAGAGATGGAGAATGAATGCCGATGATACAAACATTGCACTGCTCTGTGGACTACCAAAAGTACAAAAAGTTGGAGTCCCACTACGACCAATCGTATCACTCCTCTGAACCCAATCATATAAACTAGCGAAGGATTTGTAGAGAAGGCTGAAAACTTTGGTTGCTGTATCCGAAAATAGCATCCACAATGTTGAACAATTGCACAACAAATTGCGGAGTACTTGTGGATGTATTTTTTGCGGAATGCCAGAATAGAAGACGATGAAATAATGCTTTCATTCGATGTCAACACACTCTTCACTTTCATCTGTCACAAACTGGCCAAAGAAACCTTGAGAATCATTGAGAATCGAATAAGCCCAACGACAACCATGCAACCTGAAAGCTTGTGGAAAATCCTAACCCACTGCATGACCACTTATTTCCGCTTTGATGGACAAGTGTGCCAGCAACTGAGAGGGACGTCCATGGGATCCCCAATTTCGAGACTCATTGCAGAAGACGTGCTACAGAGATTGGAGCGCAATGCACTGCCATCTATCAGCTCGAAACTCTGGATACGATACGTGGACGACACATTTGTCATCGTACAACGAAACAGAGTACAGGCCACACACAAGTTGATCAACAGCACATTCGAGGATATCAAATTAACGAGTGAATTAGGGGAGGATAAGAAGTTACCATTTTTGGATGTGCTGGTCACTAGGAATACCGACGGATCTCTGCGACCGTGGGTATATCGGAAGAAAACGCTTACGGACTAGATATTAAACTGCCAAAGCCACCACCCGATAAATCACAAGAAGAGCTGCATCCAAACCCTGTTCAAAAGAGCGAAAACGCACTGCAGCACAGCGGAATCTTGGAAAGAGGAAGAAAGTCACCTATATCAAGTGTTTAGAAACAACCGTTATCCAAGCATTTTTAGCAAAATAAGCTTAACGAAGCGAATGGCTCAGCAACAGCAGCAGCATTCACCTGAGCAAGCAAACAAACGGATAGTGCTTCCCTACATCAAGAACGTCTCCGAACTAACAGGAAGATTGCTGCAGGCACATGGAATCTCTGGGGCTCACAAACCAAGTGTCACCCTAAGGAAATTGATCTCAAGTCACAAAGAAAAAGCTAATCAAGCTGACCAATGCAATGTTCTCTACCAGATGAAATGCAGTGACTGCGATAAAACTACGTCGGACAAATTGTAAGAAAGCTTTGTACACGAATCACGGAACAGAAGGCGGGCGTCAGAAG